ACCGTGTCAGCCATGGCTGTCCCTCACAACCATCCCTCAGCACCATCCCCTCAGCACCGTGTCTGCCATGGCTGTCCCCTCACAGCTGTGAACTACAGCCATCCTTCAGGACAGTCCCCTCAGAGCTGTGAGTGACTGCTGTCCCCTCAGCACCCGGCCACAGCCATTGCTCAGCTCCATCCCCTCAGCTGCCAGGGCTGGAGCCCCTCTGCTCTGGAGCCAGGCTGGGAGAGCTGGGGGTGCTCACCTGGAGAGGAGAAGGATCCAGGGAGAGCTCAGAGCCCCTGGCAGGGCCTGGAGAGGGACTGGGGACAAGGCCTGGAGGGACAGCACACAGGGAATGGCTCCCAGGGCCCCAGGGCAGGGCTGGATGGGATCTTGGGCAGGAATTGTTCCCTGGCAGGGTGGGCAGGGCTGGCACAGGGTGCCCAGAGCAGCTGTGGCTGCCCCTGGATCCCTGGCAGTGCCCAAGGCCAGGCTGGACATTCCTGGCACACTGGGAGGTGTCCCTGCCATGGCAGGGGTGGCACTGGGGGGCTGCTCCCGGCTCCTGCCGTGTCCCACAGCTCCCCTGCCGCAGCAGCAGCGGCTGCTCCCACCACGGCTCCGTCCATGGCCGTCCATGTGGCACCAGCACTCCATGGGCACTGGGGATGCCACCGCTCGCCTTGCTGGCAGCACCCGCAGTGCCAGCAGCGTTTCTGAGCAGGATCCGGCAGGACGGGCTCTGTTCCAGGCTCTGTTCCAGGCTCTGTTCCAGGCTCTGTTCCAGGCTCCTGTGTCCCTGTGGAAATGTCACAGCTCCTCCTGCACTGCGCTGTCTGTGCCTGCAGGAGGGAAGGAAAATTCCTCGGAGTGTGGAGAGCAGGGAGCACTCCCGGTTGGCAGGAGAGGAGGGAATGCTCTGTCAGGGAAAGGGAAATGAGAGGGCAAAGCTGCTGAGACTTCAGCGATGCCCGTTCCGAGCTGGCTGTGCCAACAGCAGTGCTCGGTTTGCTCCGGAATCCCGGAGCCAAACCCACGGCTGGCAGCGGCACCAAGGCACGGAGGTGATTCCTGCTGGCTGCATTTCCATCCCAAACGCAGCAGCGTTCGGAAAAGCCGCGGGCTGCAGGGAGAGGTGCTGGAACCTGGAAAAACACCAGGTGGTGCCATGGCTTCAGTTATTTCTTTATGTCTCTGACTCAGAGTTCAGGCTTCCCTCTCCTCTGCGGGCTGTGCCCATCCTCCTTCTTCCCAAGGGTCCCAGGGGAATTCGGCCTGGCTAGAAAAAAAAGGGTTTTACTTACTGAACAATGAGATAGAGACATTAATTAGTCACACGGATTAAAAAGGAGAATAAATTAAAGTCTAGTGATGCCATCAAGATGCCACTTGAGGGCTGGGGTGGATTATTCCCACTGGCAGGTTTCCAACCCCTTCCACAGTTAAAATATAGAATTGTTGATACTCTGAATGTATTCAGTGAAAAGAAATCCCAGGCTCTTGCACTTTCCTCAGTGCTGCTGATTTTTCCAAGCTGTTTACCAAGTGCATTTGGAGTTTTCCTGTCAGAAATCAGGTGAGTTGGTTACACACCTGTTTCCCCGAATCCCCCGTTTTAAGGGAAATCAAGTTCCTATCACAGATTTCTTCCTGTTTCTTTCTTTCTTTCCCCTAGATCTACAGTTCCATGCTCCTGAAGTGCCTTGGGACCCCAAAAAGTGAGGACACTGCAGAACTTATTAAGGCTAAGTAATAAACCAATGTTTTCCCCTTAAAATGTGCCAAAAGAAAATTTAACAGATATCCAGAGCTTGTAAAGCCGGGGAAGTGCAGCTCCCTGTCAGGGGAAGGCAGAAGGAAATCCCTGGAAACCACCATGAGAAGGAGTCAGGGCAGAAGGTGGACCCCGATGTGTGTGCCCAGTGCACAGGAACTCCAGGATGGAGAATTCATCTCCAAAGAGGGCTCTGAGGGAGGAAGGGGTGGCAGTGCAGGACGGCAGGAAGCTGGAGTGGGATGAAGGCAGGATCCCTGTGGCCAGGAGGCACAGCCCCTGTTCACCCCCAGCTGGACCCTCTCAGAGCACGTTAAACCCATCCTGCCCCAGCAGCTCCCACAGCTGTGTGCCAGGGCTGGGCTCTGCAGGACATCCCAGCCACAACCAGGGACAGGAGCAGCAGTTCTGTGTCTTTCCAGGGTTTATTTTTGTACCTTTAACCCTGTCATGTTCACACTGCTCCTTTTCCCACCTCATTTCCTTCCCTGCACATCCCAGGGATGGGACTGCTGAATACAGCTCTGGGTTAGGCAGGATCCCAGGGACACTCTACTGGATTAAATGGAATAAACATCATTTGGGATTTCCCTGAGCCAACCAGGGCAGGGCACGAGGCTGCTGCAGCCAGCTCTGCTCCCTCCCTCCCTGTGTGGGTGCAGCCTGGCACTCCAGCTCTCCTCCTGCTTCCCAAACTGGCACCCAGTGCTGCAGGACTGCCTGCTGGGCCCAGGGAAGAGCTCCAGGAGCTGGGGTTTGCAGCACTGGGAGCTGTGTCTGCTCAGAGCCCTGAGCTGCTCCCAGTGCCCAGGGACACAACCAGAGCACGCAGCCTTAACCTGCACCAAGGGAGGGGTAGGCTGGATGTTAGGAAAAGGTTTTTTACTGAGTGATAAACGACTGGAATGGTCTGCCTGGGGAGGTGGTGGAGTCACCACCCCTGGATGTGTTTAAAAAAAAATGGATGTGGATCTCAGTGCCATGGGTTAGCTGAGAGGTTAGGGCTGGGTTGGACTCGATGATCTTGGAGGTCTCTTCCAACCCAGTGACTGTGTGATTGTGTGATCCTGTGATTTAATTGTGTGCTGCTGTGATGGACTGATTGTGTGCTCCTGTGATTGGGTGCTCCCGTGATGGTGTGATCCTGTGATATTGTGTGATCCTGTGATTGTCTGATACTGATTCTGTGATCCTGTGATGGTGTAATTTGTGTGATCCCTTGATTCTGTGCTCCTGTGGTTGTGTGATCCTGCGATATTGTGTGATTGTGTGCTCCTGTGATTGATTGTGTGCTCCTGTGATGGTGTGATCCTGTGATTCTGTGCTCCTGTGATATTGTGTGCTCCTGTGATGGTGTGATCCTGTGATTTAATTGTGTGCTCCTGTGATTTAATTGTGTGATGGTGTGGTGGGACCCCTCTCCCCCCGGGATTCACTGCAGTGCTAAGAGCTGCAGGGATGGCTGGACCTCTGCAGGGAGGTTTGCACCTAAACCCTGCAGAGTAAAGCAATGCCCGGCCTGGAGCTGCCTGGGAAGCACCGGGGCAGCTTTGGTGTCTGAACTCCCCTGCAGGGCGGAGTCAGTCCCAGGCAGGGCCCCGTGGGCTGGGAATCTTTTCCATCCGAACCGATTGTGTGGAGAACCCTCCCGTTTATTCCCGGGGCTGCAGCTCACCCAGTGACCCTGGCTTGGCTTGGCCCAGCAGGGGCTGTGTGGGGTCCTCGTTGTGGGGAGGATCCATCCCAGCTCCCGGATCATCCACGAGGAAAATGGAATCATTTATGGCTCTCAAACTGCTCAGGCCTTCCCCAAACCCTTGTGCTGCCCTGCAGAGCTCCCCCACGCTCCTTTCCCTTGTTTCTGTGTTTTTAAACATCATTACATCTCAGATCCAACCAGCTCAAATACTTTTTAATACATTGAAAATGTAAAATAAAGCATATACGAAGTACATACAGTATATATATATACACATATTTCAAATACTTAAAATTCTTATGTAAAATATGATTTTTTTCTATATTATTTGTGTAAAAATACATTTTCAAATGGTGTCACCTCGATTTTGCTGTACAGACCCTCAAGCCCAATCGAAGTCCCTTTTAAAAAGGCAAAAGACAAAGGTTTAGGATTTTTGGAACTGTGTTTACAGGCCTGTTGTCCACACAGAAAAAGCCTCTGGGAAATAGTATTGGATTGCTTCTTTGTGAGAATTCCCGTTTTTATTGCATTAATGGCAGGAACTGAAGCTTTTCAGTTGTGCTGCAGTAACCCCCGAGGAACTGCCCCAGTACCCTGTGACCACCTCAGAACCCTCCTTTGTCGTCTCTTTTCCCATACTAAAATATATATTACTCCAAATATATTACTGTAAGCTCTCCCACTCGCTCTGCACGTGCAGCAAACGTCAGCATTAAAAACAACCCGGGCCCAGGACTCTGCCCACCCTGCAATTAATTACCTGTGCTAATCAAAGTGATCCTGCCACATCCTGCAGCCTCCCACATTCCTGCTGTGGGAAACCCCAGCCTGGTCCTGCCCTCCAGATCTCACAGGAACCACGGGCTGGAGCAGCCCTGGAGAGAGGAGCCCCAAAACTGCTCCCAGCGCACCCTCCCGGGATGGTCTTTGCTGCCTCCTCCCGAGGATCCCTCCCAGTAACGACCTGACCAGGAACTGCTGCTCCAGCAGCTCTGTTGTGCAACCAAAAAAATAATAATAATAAAAAATCCAACTCCCCAACCAGTGCAACTGCTTGGAACCTCCTGTTTCCTGTAAATTCCAGAGGGAAAGTAAAACTCCACACCGAAGTTCCCCTGCTGCCCACCTGGCTCAAATCCTGAGCCCCCAGAGCAGCGCTGGCACCTCCTGTGCCACAGCCTGTCCGTGGGCTTTGGGGATGGGAACTGGGCTCTAATTCCACTTCTGTGTCCTGAAAAGGGAAACTGAAACCTCCTCCCTCATCAGGATCCTTCCCTGCCACAAACACTCTGACATCAGGCTTTGGAAATCCTGGATTTTTGATGCAGCCATTCCCTGCAGTGCTGTTAAACTCATTCCTGGGGGACCAAAGTCTGATGGTTTAAACTCTGTCACGACATCCCTTCATTACAAATCCCGTGTGGAGGTGGATTTACTGGCTGTGGGAAGGAGCCTCAGCAGTGGGACAGGCTGATCCCAGCCCAAGAACCCCACAGGATTCCCCCTTCTGGAACCCATCAGCCCAAGCCAGCTGCAGCACATGCAAAACTTCCAGGGCTTTATCCCTGTTCCAGGGATTTTTACACTGAGCCATTTCCTCACACTCAGTGCCCTGTGCTCACCCTCAGGGATGCCCAAACCTCAGATGGGCACTGAGAGAATCGATTTCCTTAAAAAGAAACGGAAGAAAAGCAGCCCAAGCCAAGTGTTGATCCATGAAATGGAACTAAGGCACTGACAGGTGTAAAGCCCCAGCCACCAGCACCATCCTGCCCTGGCCAGTGCCACCTCCACACCCAGGGCCACCAGGCAGCCCCTCCTGGCACGGGCACATTCCCGTGGCACGGCTCTGGGAACGGGCACAGCAATCCCAATCCCTGCTCAGCAAGGACAAAGCCAACAGGAGGCTCCAGCGGCTTTGGGGAGTGCTGGGGAGCTCTGCAAGAGCCTTTCCAGCAGCAGCTGCACCCCGTGAGTGCCCAGGGTCACAGCTCCCTCCTCATCCTCTGCTTCCCCTCTGGAAAAGCACCCTGAGAGGAGCCAAGGGGGGACAGAACTGCCCCGAGCGTGCAGCAAAGCCCTGGCTCTGCTGGGGCAGGAGTCTGGTGTGGAACCAGCACCAAGCTGCCCCCAGGCTGTCCCAGCCAGGAATGGAAGTGTCTGTCCAGCACTGGGGGAACGAGCTTCCCTCCTGCCTAGATGGGAGCAATGGGCAGACCCTGCTCCCAGCTCCAAACCTGCAGTGCCTCCCCAGCGTTACAAAAATGCAGGATTTCCTCTTCCCAACAAGAGCTGGATGTGGGGAGTGGCAGGAGCAGGCACAGGCTGGGGGTTCTTGGGCTATCACCACCACCACGGGTGTGAGATGCTCGTGGGGACAATTCTGTGCAATTCTTTAGATTTAAAAAATGGAGTTAATCTCTAATCCCTAAATGCTCCTCACCACGGGATGCTCGAGCAGTGATGTGGAATCACGACAGTGGGGGTCACTGCTCGGCAGTAAATTCCAGATGGCAGAGCCCAGAGCAGGTGATGCTGCAGCTCCTGCTGCTCCCTGGGCAGGGATGGAAATGCTCCTGCTGCCACGGATCAAGTCTGCAACTGCCTCTTCCTCATCATCACCAACTAAACCACAGAGTCATGGAATATCCTGAGCTGGAAAGGATCCACAGGGATCCTCCAGTCCAACTCCTGACCCAACAATCCCAGCCTGAGAGCGCTGTCCAAAGGCTCCTGGAGCTCTGGCAGCCTTGGGCACTTCCTTGCCTTTTCCTTGGAAAATCAGCCAGGGAATTCTTTTTGCTGCTCACCACCAGAGCTGGGCTCCTGGGGGAAGGGGAGGGGAGCAGTAGTACAAAGGACAGGGGGAGGGAAGGCTGAGGACCCCGTGCACCACTCAGCTGCCCCACTGCTGTGGGAATATTGCTTCAGCTTAAAAAGGCCTTTGGATTAAAAGTGAATTCAGTGCTTTTCCATCAAAAACATACATAGCTCTGTTCCCTGACCAGGATGCAGCAATCCTCACCCACCCAGGAGGGGAACAGCCCTCGAGTGACTCGTGCTGCATCAGCTCCTCAGCTCCCAGGAACACGGGAACACTGTGCTTTGATTTCCTTCAGTGCAAGTGAAGGCATCAGGAACTGGCAAGGGAGCACAGGTGCCACCAGCCCTGTCCCCAGTCAGGGCTGAGGGGCTGCCCCAGCACCCCTCCCTCAGCTGGGCCCAAGCTGAGCTGAGCTCAGCCCAATTTGGTATTTCAAACACAAAGAGCCACCCAGCAAGGCCCAGGCAGACACTCATTTGCCTTTCCCTCCACCCAGGAAATACAAAACCTCGGATAGAAACTGGAGATGTCTGACCATGGGGCCGTTTGGATGAGCACAAAACGCTTCCCAGAGCAGAGCAGGACCCAGGGTGACGCTTTGTGCCCTTCACCCACCCCTGTGTCCCCAGAGCAGCTGGCTCAGGGCTGTGGGATGGCAGCTCCAGCTCCTGGGGAATGCCCGGGGAGCAGATTCCTGCCAGCCCTGCCCGGCCAAGCACAGCTGAGTGACCCCCGCTCCTGTGGGTCACAGCAGCCCCCAGGGCTGAGCTGTTCTGGGGATCCCACCCCATGCTCAGCACAGCCCCTGCAGCTGCAGCAGCAGCAGCACAGCCAACAGCTCCCTCCAGCCGGGACACGGAGACGGCACCTGCACACCAGGGGCAGCAGGAGCCTCCTGGACAGGCTCCTCAGGGAAAGGCTGCCACAGTTCCCAGGCATTTACACGGGGAGCAGCCAAGGGAGCCTGCTCAGGGCTCCTGCCTCGCTGCTCCACCACCACACACGGCTGGACCTGGATTTTCCTTGCATTATCCCGTTCCCTTTGCCAAGACAAGAGCTGCATCCCCCCGGGGACAGCAGAGCTCAGCAAACGTGCTCAGAGCAGGCTGGGGTCACTGGAACTGCAGTACAAGTCAAACACTATCTCCTAAAAGATTGAAAAAATATCTTTAAACAAAATAATGTGGCGTATTTACATAATTCCTTAAGTGCAAACTCTTGTCACAATTCACGTCGTCGAGCGTGATTTCGACTCCCTGTACAAGAAGGTGCTCTTTCGTCAATGAAAGAAGGACTCTGACTCTGGATTCCTGATTCAGTAACGTGTCTCTTGTGCAAGGCAGTAAAAATTCCTGTTTCTTCCCAAGGTCCTTCCCACAGCAGCCCCCGGAGGGAGCCGAGCCGCCGCCCCCGTTACCGCACCACGAGGCAGGACACGCAGAGCTTGGAGGGGCCGATGCAGTCGTCGTGGCAGAAGGCGCCGCAGCCCTTGCACATGATCATGGCTTTCAACCTGCAGTAACATTTGGAGGGCGGCTCCTCCATGGCGCCGTCCTCGGCGAACGCCGGCACCGCCAGGCTCTGCCCGTGGCCGCCGGAGCTCACGGCCTGCCCGGCGGGGATGGTGGTGACGGTCACCGAGAAGGACATGACGTTGCCCATGGAGCTGCTCCCCAGCTGGCCGCAGTCGCCCACGAGCGAGCCCTGGCCCACGTCGGCCGAGGTGGAGACGTTGATGGTGCCGCTGTAGCTGGGCCCCAGCAGCGGAGCCGCGGCGCTGCCCGGCAGCTTTGGGGGGTGCGGGGCGGGGAGCAGCGGAGGCTGGGCTGAGTCTGGGGACGGGCTGGAGGGCCCCGAGAGCTCCGCGCTGCCCTGGCCCTTGCCCCTCATGGCGTGGGCCATCTGCTCCTGTGCTGCCTGCAGCAGGTCCCGGGCCAGCGCGGAGCCATCCAGCACCTTCTCCTTGGCGGCTGCCTCGGCCTTGCCGGCCTTGGTCCCCACCAGGGAGCCGAGCTCCGCAGGGACGGCGCCGTGCGAGCCCTGCTCCTGCTCGCCCTGCCCCGCCCGTGGCTCCTCTTTGATGCTGGTGCGCTCCCGCTCATCCCCGGAGCTCTCCTCATCCGTGCCCTCCTCGCTGCTGCTCTCCTGGCCGCCCGTGTCCCCGCACTCGCCCAGCTCTGCCCTGGCAGCCTCGGCGGGGCTGCCCAGCCCCAGGCGGGGCTCGGCCTGCAGGGAGAAGCCTCTCCTCAGACTCTCGGAGCCGCGGCCGTAGGTGGAGATGTTGAGCAGGTAGTGCCCGGACATGGCAGGCTTGCATGTCCTCCTGCCCGTGAAGCCCAGCATGAATCTCTGGCTGGTGGAGCTGCTTTCCGTGGGGAAACCTGAGTGTGGGAGGTTCAGCTGCGAGGGCTGAAGGACGGGCAGCACGTTCTGCCTCTGCACCCTCTTGATGAGAGTCTGCAGGATCTGCTCCTGGGTGGATTTGCTCAGCGCCTCGTGGCACTGCTGGGGCTCAGCACCGGGCTCCTTTCCCGAGGGCAGGAAGGTCCTTGGAATGTGAGGCACGGGCCTGTTGTGGCACAAGATCTTCCCGAGCTGCTGGGGGGGCAGGCTGGCTGCTCTGTCCCCCGGAGCCCCCTTCTCTTCCTGAGCAGCCACGGGGACCGTTCTCATCTCTGCCTTGGTGAGCGCCTTGGGCAGGATCTGCTCCAGGGGGACGCTCTTGCCTTGGAGCAGCTGCGTCACCAAAGGGTTGTTGGCAGGAATGCTGGAGCTCGCTCTGGGCACGGCCCCACCGGGAGGAGATTTAAGGCTGGGGGCTGCTGAGGAGCTGCTGGAGGTTGGCACGGGCACACCCACAGCTCCAGCCTGGGCTCCAGGGCCCGAGGGTGGCACGGAGGAGCCCGGAGGGGAAGGAGATTTGCTTTTGGAAGGGTCACAGCCGCTCCCTGCTGAGGCCTTGGGTGCTCCCGGGGTCACCGTGGGTGCTCCCGGGGTCACCGTGGGTGCTCCCGGGGTCCCGGTGCCACAGCCAGGTCCGTTCCCAGCCGGGGCAGGAGGGGCTGTCGCTGCCCTGTCCCCGCTGGTGGCACCTGGGGACCCCGGGGTGGCGGTGGCCCGCGGGGTGCTGGCGGTGGCCCCCGAGCCGTGCCCTAGCGCTGGGGCAGCCGCAGAGGCCCCTGGCTGTAGCTGTGCTCCAGCAGGATGGCGAGCAGCTCCCGGCTCCGCCTGCCCCTCCCCTTGGGAACGGGGCCCTGGGCCGTGGGGAAGGAACCTTCTCGAACCTCCCCCGCTTCCAGTTCCTGCCAGTTCCAGTGTGTTGGCTCCAGTTGTGGGGTGGGGGGCTCCCGCAGGGTCTCCCCCGCTGCCCGGGGGTCTCCCCCCGCCCGGGCCGGGCCCTGGCACGGCTCCCCCGGCCGAGGCGGCGGCGGCGGCGGCCGCTGCCCTCTGAGCCTTGGCCTGCTGCGCCCTGGCCTTGATGTCAGCCAAGGTCCTGGCCCCTGTCCTGCCGGGACTGCCGAGGGACAGGGGGAAGCGAGCCCTGGGAGAGACCTGGCCCGCAGGAAATGGCATCGGCGAGATTCTGGACACGGGAATCTGCAAGAGAACGGGAGAGAAGCACGGCTCAGACACGGGGAACGCTCAGCTCCAGGGTCTGTGCTTTTGTCTGACACAACCGGCCCTGGGTGTGGAGAAACCCCTCCTGTCGCTGCCGTGAGACAAGAGTCGTGTCCCACCCTCAGACACCTCCCAGGCAGGTTTAGGGTGGAACAAACCCCGTGGCCCCGAGTGGAGCTCGTCCCTCTCGGGTACCATCACCCAGAGCCCCTGCAGGGCCGATCCAGCCCCCAGCCCTGCCAGCCCCTGTCCCTCTGCTTCACGTTATTCAGGTGTAATTTCTGTCCTTTGAAAGGTGTCACCATCCTGCTGCACCCAGCCTTGCTCTCCCATCATTTGTCTCCTCAGTGCCTTTGTACAAAGCCACAATAATCCCCTGAGCTGCAGGAAAAATGCCAATAATTTACTCTTTCCCTCTAAAACATTTCCCCCAATGTTCCAGCTGACTTTTCCCATATTTGCTCTTCCCAACACGTGCTGAGTCCTGCACTGAGCCTGGTGCTGACCTGCTCACCCTGCAGAGATCTCAGGGAGCTGATTTGAGCTTACATTTATTTTCTGTATCCATAAAATCCTCACTGGATCCAGTGAGCTCTGATCAACCACTTCATTTTTGGGGAATGACACATCTTGGGGACATGTCTGTCCCCATTTTCCCCTGCTTTGCAAGGGAAACTATTCACCATCACCTTCAACTCGCTCTGCTGTTATATTAAATCCCACCTTTACTGCCCTGGCCCTCCTTCCTGCAGGGTATTCCAGACCTCCTTTATGGACAGTTTCCCCAATTCTGTGTCACTGACAATTTCACTGATGCTTTCCTGCCTTTGTGCTCTTCTTATTAACAGTGAGAACAATGAGCTGCTTTTAAAGTTTTGAGTTCGAAGCCTTTTAGCACAAAAGGACATGAATAGAGGAGTAGGATTCCTGAGGAAAACAGGAATTAAGCTTCTGCCTAAGGGCCCAGAGGTTCAGCAACAGCTGCCTGGTCCTGACCTGGCTCTCAAAGCCTGGGATGCTTCAGTGCTGCTGCTTCCCCCTGCCCATCCCAGCAAGACCCAATTCCCTCTTTCCTTTCCCAGATGGGTTCTGGCAAAGGCTCAGCAGCCAAAGGGTCTCTGGTGCTGAGGTGTTCCCCAAAACGTTCCTGCCCTGGCACTGCAGCACGACAAACCAGGCTGCAGTGCTGCCAGGGGCTCTGGCTGGAATCCCAGTGTCTGTGCTGGCTGCAGGGGAGCCTGGAGCCTTCACCCCCCTGTTCCTGGAGCCTTCACCCCCCTGTTCCTGGAGCCTTCACCCCTCTGTTCCTGGAGCCTTCACCCCTCTGTTCCTGGAGCCTTCACCCCCCTGTTCCTGGAGCCTTCACCCCTCTGTTCCTGGAGCCTTCACCCCTCTGTTCCTGGAGCCTTCACCCCCCTGGTCCTGGAGCCTTCACCCCCCTGGTCCTGGAGC